CAGTGATGACTCATTCATTCTGATATATAAAGTAATAATGCATTAATTTTCACTCCTCTTTAGTATTCCACTGTATGACTATACCATAAGTTATTTATCCCACCTTCTGTCATTGTGTGGTTGTCACTTTTTACCACTGCAGTGCTGCTCTGAGCCTTCTGGTATGGTTCTCCTGGTGTACAAATGCAGGAGTTTCTAGGGAATACATGGAGGCGTGGGATTGTAGGTCAAAAGATACTGAATCTTCTAACTTTATTTGGTACTGCCAGACTGTTTTCCAAAGCGGTTGTACCATTCCACAGTCCCGGCAGCAGTGTACAAGAATTCTAGACGTTAGACGCCATCACCGGCACCTGATAGTGTGCTAGATTTCCTTTCTCTTGGTCATGAATAGCATTAAAGATTCTCTGGCTGTGCAAGCTGAGCGAGCTGAGTTCTGGATCCATGTGCATCAAAGTAGCTCTCATAAAGATGTGCATTTGGCTGGCCCCTGTTTAAAGTACAGCAGAATCATCGCTCATTGTCACGTTGAATTGTTGATACTTAAAGTTAGTAAGACCTATTTTGTAGGGTTGTAAGATTAAGTGGAATAACTGAAAAGTGCTTAGGGGGCAATGCCATGACTTTGGGAAGCACTCACTGGTTCTTAGGTCCTTTTTTCCACACTTGAGTGATGCTGAGCATTGACTCTTGATTTGAGCGGTGAGTAATATCTGATGCCATGAAAAAGGTGACATGTGCAATACAAGCATAATCTGTATTGCTTTGCTTTTCATCTCAATTATCTGTTGACACACTGTTCAAGTGGGTACCAAACCAGGTTTGCTATTTAAAAATTCAAAAGAGCCCTAAAATCTTCACCATCAGAGCCAATTCTAAAGGCAGGATAAATATCAGTAACTGTAATATCACTTTCTGTATGAAATTGTGAGTATTGAAACAGCGTAAATCAGTACAGACTTGAAAAAGTAAATTAAAAATAAAACAAGATACTTCAATATTGTTTACTGCTTGGTCCAAACTTTTAAGATATTATTTACTGAGAATGTACTTATTTATAAAATAGCCTTGAGTTGTTAAATTCAATCCCAGAATATTCTTTGTTTTCTTTTTCCCCCTCCTGTATAAAACTGAAGTTCATCTACTAAAGCAAGTTGGCCCAACCTAGTATTCTGTGCGCCGGCTGTTTAGTTTGGGAGTGGAGACAGAAATTTTTAAATAGTAAATTACTTTAAATAGAAATCAGAGTATAAAAGACATTTCTCATAATAAATGCAGTCTTGCTAATGTAAATAAAGTAGCTTTTAGGATATTTTTTTATTATTAAAAAAAATTCTTTTGAAACTGCCATCTTGGTTTATGAGCACTTAAAAAGAAAGAAGAGCCTCCAAGTTTTGTCTGATTCAATCATTCTTTTTCCCTTCCTCCTGAAGGAGTAGGCAGTCTCTGAAAGTTCGAGAGCATAAAGTTTTGGGACCGTATGTAGATGGTTTATCCCAACTGGCTGTCACTAGTTTTGAGGTAAGTGTTATTTTTTTACAATGTCATTAAATAACTGGCAGTAAATTGAAGTGTGTAGTGATGTTGATGTTGAATATATTTTTATGGGGATGCTTTATAGCATATTGATGCCATTCATGGTCTCCAAAACCCAGTATCAACACACCCCAAACAGAAGAGGGGGCCTTTAATCGCACCTCTCAACCTGCTTTGTTGTGAAGGTTTTAAAGTGCAGCTGAGATCCCGGCATTTTGAACTTGCTGAGTATTTATGCTAATACCTCTCTGTTGAAACTGTTCTACTCAAGGATGTCCATCTGGACAAATGTAAAGAGCATTTGGTAGTTAATTCAACCTCTTCTCTTTGATAGGGTCCCCTGCCTTAGTTTCCATTACTTTTCATTCTTCTGTTTCTTCTGTTTTTTTGAGTCAGTCCTCTTTCCATGTTCCTCCTTCTTGATTTTTATGCCTTCTTACATCCTGGCTTGATGTTTTGCCCTTGTTTTTGCTGTCATTGCTTTGGAAATCTCATAACACAAGCTGCTGTCTGTTGCTGAAAAAAGCCAATGAATGAACGAATGCACCCCTATACTGAGTCATGCTCACTCGTTATGACTAAAGTTAATCCGTGAGGTAGCTCTCTAACCATTTAAACAGAGACATTTTTCAGATGAGCACTAGACTTGTTGAAGCGATCACGTCGTACGTTCTAAAAATGTCTGATCACTTTGTGTACACGTGAAGCTAATACTATATTGCATATCAACTGTCATTGAAAATGTTTTAAAAATTAAAAAATAAGTGAAGACATGTTTTGTATTGCTTAAATCAGAAATACAGTGTAGTCATTACTTTAAAAACACTTGGATTCTTGAATGGAGACCTCTCTGACATAAAGGTGCTAAGCCAACTCAGCGTGGTTGGTGTCAGTGTCTATCTCATCCTGTCACTTATTAATAAAAGCCAGGGTGCTTATGATTTGTGTCCCAGTTCTGCTTCCTATTAGATGTGGGAAAAGTTATTTGACCTTCACAAACCTCAGTGTCCTTGTGTGTAAAATCATGAGAATACCTTCTTTATGAGGTTTATTCATCAAATCATGTATAAGAATCCATAGGTTCCTAGGGTGTAAGGCAGGTGTACAAAGGTGAATAAGGAAAATTCCCTGGAGAGCCATGGTGTTGGAGGACAGGGGCAAATACGTGAGCAGGAGATAGCTACACAGAGAATTAGAATAAAACAAGGTAGTCACCGTTCCTAAGTATCTGGGATGCTCAGTAAATATTAGCGCTTTTCTTCCCTAGGAACTTGCAAAGGAAAAACTAGGTAGTTAACAGAGAAAGAAGACAATCGCAGTTGAGAAAGAATGGGGGAAACGTTTTATACACCAAAAAGCACTGAGGGAGGTGGAAGCTGAACCATTGCTGTGAAGGAGAGACGGAGGTTTTTATGGAAGGGTGGTGGCCAGTGCGTCAGAGGATCATAATTAATACATACACCTGGTGGGCAGGATGGTGTTCACATGTTTTTGCTTATAATATTTTCCTTACGCTTTGCCTCTAGGATATTGAGTCACTGATGTCTGAGGGAAATAAGTCTCGCACAGTAGCTGCGACCAACATGAATGAAGAAAGTAGCCGCTCCCATGCTGTGTTCAACATCATAGTCACGCAGACACTTTACGACTTGCAGTCCGGGGTGAGGGACTGGGCAGGCCCTTTGTGAGCAGTAAAAGATCTCGAAATACCTGCATGGGCGATGTGTTTCGTGGTTGGGTTCGACAGCTGAGAATTCTGTGCTGGCTCTTCTACTTACTAGATGAGCTACCTTGCTTGAATCATTTAATTTCTTAGGCCTTCCTTAATATATAACTTCTTTTTAATTGAC